GGTGTGGGAGAGCACCAGCAACCGGTCCATGCTCGGTCCTATGAAGGGCCTTGGTGAGGAACTTGTCCGTCAAAAGGTATGATAACCGGGGGGCACCGCTCATGATGTCAACAAAGGCATTTGGGGTGGAGGGCGGGAGTCTGTAGGCCAGCTTGATGATCCTCCTGAAGGCGGAGCCGATGAGGTCACACGTATTCTTACCGATTAGCGAGACACCCCAGATTTCCAGGCCATAGCTGAGAGTCGGTACCCATACAGCTTTAGCTAGATGTATAATGCCACTAGGGGAGATCCCGAAAGCTTTCCTGGCATAGCGCATGGCCTTCATAGTCACGTTGTGGCACTTGGCCAATCTTGCCTTGAGGTGATATGCGAAGTTGAGTCTGCTAGTGACGGTAATGCCCAGTATCTTGATGGACCTGCGAGCATAGATCGCGGAGCCATAGCTAGTAAGGATCTCGGTCTTCTCCGTGGATAGGGTGAGGTTGAAGTTGGCCAAGGTGGGTACCAATTCGTCAATCATGTGGCGGATTCCTTCATCTCTCGAGGATAGACTACTGCGGTGACCAAACTTGAAGGCTATGTAGCAATCGTCTGCGTAACAGAAGAAGCGTACTTGGAAAGGGTGAGCTGGTAAGTTCGCCGAGATGGTATGTGTCACGAGATCCATGAAGTAGACGAATAGCAGAGGGGAGAGCACGCTCCCCTGGGCTAGCCCAACCCCGTCTCTCGCTTTCCGCGTCGTATGGACCCCGAGATGGTGGTTAGAGTTGAGCCTTGGGCCGAGCCAGGCCTTTACCCATTCCGTCTCCTTGGCGGGGACCTTCAGGAGCGCCAGAGCACGAAGCAACTGATCATGAGGGACCGAACCGAAAGCATTGGAGAGGTCGAGGGCCGCAATGGCCCAAGGGGGCTTCCTTTTAACAAAATGGCCACTAGGTCCTTGTTGTACATACCGTAGTACCTCGTCGACGAGGGAGGTGGCAGACCGCCTCGGTAGATAAGCGAAATGTTCTCCGCGATGGGCGATGACCTCGGTGATAGCACCGAGACGTCGGACCAGCAGTGCTTCTTGCAGCTTGCACAGCGTGCAGGAGAGCGTAATGGGGCGAACGCCTTTGACCGTCCCGTGACCGGTAGCTTTCGGGATGTAGACGACCGTAGAGTGCAGCCAGTGCCCAGGAATGGATGCCATGTCCAAGGATATCTGGTAGAGCCTTGCGATCTCCGAGAGAACCCAATCGGGAGAATGTAGAAGGTGTTCCCAGCGTATGCCACAGGAGCCAGGTGAGGTATCTTTGCACCTTTTGATGATCTCCTTCCTCATGAGGCTGAGGGGAAAATCATTGTGGGCGTCCGAGAGGAGGCGGGTGTCATCCGAGATGTGCACAGTTCGGTGGTTCAAGGAGGCCTCGTCGAAAGGGTCTCCTAAGTATCGGTCCGCCAGTGCCGAGATCGTGCCCTCCACGGTGGGGTGGTCGTTGAGCGTCGTTGGAGGAGAGCTGGCTTCTCGAGTTATCCTAGAGAGAAAGGACGCATTGCTACCTTCTAGGGAGCTCGCGAAAAGGCGAAAGCTAGCATCCTTCTTCTCCTTTATGAGCTCTCTGTACCCCTTTCG